CAAAAGCGTCGAAGTAGGGGTTGGCCTCGGTGGTGATGAACGATCTGCGCCAATCTGTGGCTGTTAGTCATGCACCAGCACTTAGACAACATCAGAACGAACCGATTCTGAAACCAAGGCTGGTAAGATCCTCCTGGGCAAGAGGAGGGAAGAAGGTCAACCAGTAGGAAGCATCGGCGAAGAGGTGAATCTCTTGCCTGGGAATGCCCATGGCCTCCATGATCTGGAACTGGTACTTGGCCTTGACGGTCTTGGCATTCGCCTTGCTCTTCTTTGTCGAGAACTTGGTGATGTCCTCGCGGGTCGCCTTGGCGTCGGCGGGCTTGTCGTCGACGAGGACCTCCTCCTCCTCCTTGTATCCCTCAAAGTCGCGGCCGAACCACTCGACCTCGTTCTTCAGCTTATCGGCGACGGCCTTGATGGGCATGCCGGTCGCGTGCCATCCCATGGGGAACAGGGCGCGCTTTCCTTGCATTCGGGCAACCTAGATATCTACTCAGCTTCCATCCCATCAATCGTTAATTTTTGAGGGGTTCTCTTACACCGGCGCTGAACTCAACCTTGGACACGGAGAACAAGTGACCGGCGTGGAGACGGCCGTTCATGTAGGGGAAGGCCATGCATCCCATCCTGTATCCTCGTCAACAACAATCCCCCACGTCACATATCTATCTCGATGCGCCATACCACTTGGGCTGTTGCTTGCGCAGCTCCTCGGCGGAAACGGAGTGTAGGGGCACCTCCTTGGTGGAGGGGGCATCGACCTCGAAGATCTTCTCCTCAGCCCACTTCTGCTGGTACTTCTTCTCGAGGGAGATGAGGAAGTCGCGCTTCTCGGTTCCCTTGAGCTCCTTGGTCTTGGAGACCTGGAGGGCCTCGAGGGCCTTGGCTGCTTCGTTCGCCATGATTGAAGCGACGGTTTGACTTATCGAGAGAGGGGAGACACAGGGACGAACCCGGTCGATCCAATCGGTTGTTTTAAGGACCGAGTGTGACTCTGCTCGTCGGGGCGGAGGGAGTCACTCTCGTTGCGGCGTAGGTCTGTTCGGAACGGGAGGTTGCTGTTCGATCGCAGGATCTTGAGTCACAACCGGCCACACACAGATTTCGTCGCAGCTCCGATGTTTTTTTCGAGGCTGAGTGTGCCCCGCGATTCGACTTTGGAGGGGGTCTCGCTGCTTGCTGGCGCCGGTGCGGTAATGGCGGGGTACCATCGGGCCACTGGTCACTGGCCAGTCACTGTTGGAGCGCTGTCTCGTTTCAACGGTCCCCTCAAGAGTAAAAGGTACGTACCGCGACCCCCGACGGTCGGGAGTCACTGTAGACGTGGCTAGTGATAGTCTCAAAGTGTGGCATATGTGGCTTGATCCATCGCAGAGCTTCCCCAGTCGCAGATTCAGCCGCCGCACCACCGAGATCTCCAAGTCTTTCAGATCCCCGAATGCGCAATCCCAGCCATTCAGCCGCTTTCGCCGTCGAATCCCCGTGGAAAAACATCGAATATGTTTCCAACGTTACTGCGGCGCACCGCCGAATCGGCCGGCCGCAAGTTCGACGTCTTCACCAACCCGTACCGCGCGAAAAAAGTCTGGCCTCCCGACTTCACAGGCCTCTCGCCTCAAGCACAGCTCCGGTTCGAGAAGAAGTACAAGCGCCGCCTGGCATTGGTTTATGCGCGGCCAAGATGGGACAAGGCTATCAAGCTTATTCAGCTGGTGACCGTGACAGGTTGGTGCAGAGCATAGAGGGGTTCTCGACATTTGTGGCTGACGAGCAGCAGGTTTCCTGGGCTGGACGTTCTTGTTTTCAGAGTTCGAGTTTTGGGGCAAGCAGTATCGCCCTTCTGAGGAGGTACGATGTTCTTTACACTCAGCCTCTAGCCTATGCTAACCTGCCATAGATCCGGAAGCACTTCCGAAACCTGTTTGGCACCATCGACGCCGAAAAACGATACGAGCGTCGCAGAGACGCACCCGAACCCGGGTCCGCCGAGTCCCCCAAATAAGGCAGATATCTAGGTCGCATGCATCGGAAGGAGTTCACGGCGTTTTGAATACCCGGCACGCAAAGGGCCCATGTACAACATCATCCTCCGCAAAAGCTATAATGGTATTACGTTCCTCTCATGAAGACCTGGCCACTCCTACCTTCCGTGCCAGACAAAGTTGCCTCCCATACCCAAGCCGCCGCCAATACCCGCACTGCGACCCTCGTTGACAGGCCGCTTGGCTACCGTACCCTGCGCCCTGACGCCCGCCACTATCCTGTCCAGATTTGTCTCGATGACGACTCCTCCGTTGATCATTTCGCCCAGCGTCGCGTGCAGCGACTCAAAGTTGAAGATCAGGTCCAGCTCGCACACGTTCTCGAATAGCTTGTCCAGCGCCTCGACGTAGACTTGTATCAGGTCGATGAGGGCGAGTGGGGACTCGGTGGACGTCGAGATGACGATGAAGTAGAGCGTCGCGTAGTTGCGGTATGTGACGAGGGAGGGCACGTCGTTCTGCTCTTCGGAGGAGGAGTGGGAGGTGCCTGATGCGGCGAGCAGGGGCGGGAGGGGGAGGAAGTTGCAGGAGCCGGCGGGACGATTCGATACGAGGGTAAAGATTTCGGAAATCAGGCGCTGTTGCATGCTTGTTTCCTGTGACCGCGTTAGCACTGGGTGAAGCTGAACGACGATCGCCTGCCTCAGGGTGTCTGCATCGCATACCAGCTGTGTGTAGAACTTGGTCAGGCGGGGCTGACCCTGGCCGTTGAAGACCAGAAATGCGTTGATCATTGTATCCTATCCTGCCTGCGCATCCCGGCTCTGTGATTTTGAGGTGTTGCTGCTGCTGCCGTTGGCGTTGTACCGCGGGGTGCTTGTCGACAGTTACGAGGTTGAGTCTCTTGGTGGGGTGGCCGTTGCCAGCCGCTCGCTGCTTCGAGTTCCCTGCGCTCCAGAAACTGCCACCCAAAAATCGGAGGTGCGCCGCGGTGCCTGGCACATGACTTTCTGATGTAATCCGGTGGAGCGCTCGGACCAGTTGCCGTCCCAAGCTCGCGTCTCCCCTCAACCGCTTTACCGAAGCTGCAGTCGTCAAGCTGCAGTGACGTGGGGAAGCAAACGGCAGCTACCTCTTTCATCGCTTCTCTCCGTTCGCATCGAAACGACTCTCGATCTTCAACAGAACATCAACGCCGACTCAATTCGTCACTGAAACCACGAATCTTGCGATATCGCTCATTCTAATCCACAGACCGCGCAACAATGGCCCGCAGCAGCATCGCCAAGCTCTCCCGGGCGGCATCCCGCTCCCTCCGCACCTCCACCACCTCCGTCCTCCCGCGCCGCTCCTCTGCCGCTCTCCTCAACGCCACAAAACCGGCTGCAACCGCCGGCCTCGTCGTCCCGGCCCGCAAGCTCTTCACCACCTCCGCCGTCGCGACCCGCGGCATCATGCCCGACACGGATGACCCGAAGGTCCCTGAGACACCCAAGGAGGAAGTCAAGACGAGCGTCGTCGAGCTCTCTGACGCCGACTACCACGAGCTCGCCGACACCTACCTCGAGACCGTCCTCACCAAGCTCGAGGAGCTGCAGGACGCCCGCGAGGGTGTCGACGTTGAGTACGCGGTACGTTGCAAGCACCCACCTTTCTTGCGCAGAAAACCTTCTCCCAAATCCCTTCATATACCCCCGAATCTGAAGCCCCAAAATGGCCCGGGCTTCTTCTCATGATTTTCAACCATAAACAAGATGCTGACTCACCTCCAACATCCAGGCCGGCGTTCTCAACGTCACCTTCCCTGGCGCAGGAACCTACGTAATCAACAAGCAGCCCCCCAACAAGCAGATCTGGCTCTCCTCCCCCATCTCCGGCCCCAAGCGCTACGACTGGGTCGTCGTCGGCGACTCCCAGAACGAGAAGGAGGGCACCGCCGCCGGCGCCTGGGTGTACGCCCGCGACGGCAGCACCCTCGACGACCTCTTCCTCAAGGAGCTCGACGTGGACCTTAGCATAGCCCCGTCGACCTACGGCGAGGATCAGTCCTAGTACGACGAACAAGACGGTCTCGAAAAGGGTGGCCCTAAGGTCTAGACCCGTCACTTCATCCAGTAATATCAGCTCATGGGAGAGTGAGAGCTTGGGTGACGGGGACGGTATTTCTTTTCTTCTTTCCCCTCCCGAGCCCCGGGGGGCGAGCCCGCGCGGACTTTTGTCGAGCTGCAAGCGCGGACATGACGTGATGGCTCTTTGACGGCTCAACATGCGTCCGTCCGTCTGCACGGGCGGGACAGTATCGAGCTCGGTGTGTTTGTGTGTGTATTCGTATGTGTGTACTTTAACATGGCAATTGGGGGGAGTTTCATGGGTGGTCTGGAGGAAGCTGGGAGCATCCCCTCCGCTGGGAAAACGAGGGGAGTTGACCAAAGCTCGAGGAAATGGCATTTCTAGCTGTGTGTACAAACAACTATGCCAGCGCTAACATTGCGCCAAATTCACAAGCCCGTAGGTCTGGGTCTACCGGGCCGGATCCTCCGCCTCATGGCGTGACAGTTTTGGCGTTTCTCCCTGATGCACGGAGTGGGAGCACAGTGACCGTCTCTCAAGGATCGTGAAGGTTTTGTGTCCTGAAATAGTAGAGTCTTTTTTCGTTACTCTATCTACGAATCTAAGCGGGCCTCTCTTTTCGCTTCGGATGCCATGCCTTCGTGGATATGAATCAGCGACTGTCGCCACCTTTCCTCCGAATATTCTTGATATTAAACCTGCCCAGCCCGATTCCATACTTTTGCTCACGGGCACACCACCACATCCTCTCACCCTTTCACATAACCCCGCCTCCCGGCGACGACAGAGTCCAACTGCTGACCGTTGCGTCCATAAAAATGTGTGCTAAAGCGACAAGTATTGCTTAGCGAGGGTATCGTTGTGGCGGTTCGTATATGCCAGTCGTCAGGGCCTGCTCTTTTTTTCCCCTACGTTCATTCCCTTCTCTTGTCGTCATCCATCACATTACCCCGGCAACTCCGATCTCTCCACCGGCGCAGGCAGCTCAATCGCCGGGCCCTGCTGCGTCTCCGGCATCTCGTGCAACCCCCTCGGCGCAGGCATCTCTAGCATCTCGCCAGCACCCGCACTCTGCGCCGCGCCCATCGTGCCCTCGGGCTTCTCCGGGTCTGCGTTGTGCATCGCGGTGACGAGCGCGGCGTCGCGCTTCCTGAGCTGCCTCTCGCGCCTCCAGTTCCAGAACCACCCGAGGGCGACGACGAAGAAGACGAGCCCCGCGGTCGCGCCGACGGAGATGCCGATGACCTGTCCGGGCGTGAGGCCCGACTGCTGGAGGATGTTGTTCGGGAACGCGGGCCCGTCGTTGGAGGAGCTGCCTGTGGGGAAGGAGGTGGCCTCGGGCGTGCGGGTGGCTTCTGTCGAGGCGGTGGCCGAGGGGCCCAGCGTGAAGCTGGGCCCGAACCGGTTGGTTGGGAAGGGCAGCGACATTTACTCGGTGCCCAGGGAGGAAGATGGGCTGCTGCTGTGGGAAGCGCCGAGATGAGGTGGGTATCTGAGTAATGGTCTGCGTAGTGTTTGGGTATCTGTTTACTATAAAGGCGATACTGGAGGCGAAGTCATGCTAAGGGCCGGCCGGAGTGGTGAGTGGTGGTGGATGTGTGGTGTAGGTCGGGTGGGAAACAACCAGGAATCCAGGAAGAACCAGCTTCGACCCTCCCTTCTTCCTTTCTCCCATCCAGCCTGCGGAAGATGACGGGGGGGCACATGCCTTTTGATACAGTGTTTGCCTCCCCTCCCCCCATGTGATGTCCGGCGACCATGGCGGCGTTTGGGTTGGGCTTTTCCTTGGGAGGAGGGGGAGAGAGAGGGAAGAAGGAAAAGAAGGAACGAAATGCAGGAGCAAAAAGCTCTCGGGCCTCTGGCGTACTGAGACGAAGCCAACACGTCAGATCGCAGGCCGTGTCTGTTTTTTCTCCCCTCTCCCGGCTCCTTGGGTGCTGCTGACTTGCTGTCTCTTTGCTGTGGCGTGCTGCCAGAAAGATTATAAACAGGCTCTAGGGCGCCTGTCAAGTTTCCAAGACCGGCAAGACCGGCTTGGGAGTGCTGGCGCAGAGACAAGAGCGAGGGTTGTTAGCGTCGTTGATGATCGATCGGGCTAGCTGTCAATGGCCGTTCGGTGGTAGGGGGTGTTTCGGACCTTTCTGGCGGAGACTAGCACGGCGGCGCAAAGCCCGAAGATGGGATGAGACCACCCCACCCCGCCGCCGCCGCCGTGCGCTGTCTTTCTCCCCCAGGAGTTCGTCAGATGGGAGGGTCTGGCGAATCAGAAGGCCGAAAGCTGTCAAACTTGTTTGCTTTTTTGCACCCTGCCCATGCAGGAGGTGTCACTGGGATTCGCTTTTGGCTTTCAACCTGCATGTTGCTGCTGGCAGTCCTCGAGCACAGAGTTGGGAAAGGCGAGCCATTCCGACCAGTAATCGCCAAGATGCGCCGAGATGGAGCGGATCATGAACTGACCCGCATCGCAAAACACCCAATACCCGCGGCACCAATGGAGGAGCACGGCGTAGTAAGCTAGGATGACGAGTGCCTCGGGGCGACGCTGCTTGAGGACGTCGATGAAGCCGGTGGTGATGCGGACGCCAAAGGCCATGACGCCGGAGGACTGGTGGCTGCTCCGCTCGGAGATGCTGCGGTAGATGGCGTAGGCATGGCGGAGAACCTCGGCGGCGGCTCGGCAGGCCTCGAGAGATGCCGGGCCCAGGTCGGCCTGGTCGAGCATGCGGTGAACGGCGTCCATCTCGGGAACCTGGGCGTGGGGCTGCCTGGCCTCGAGGAAGTCGATGAACTCCTTGGCGCCGGACTGTCGGATGATGTGCCAGGAGCGGCCGGTGACGGCGCTGACGCCGCGGTGGAGGCTGAGGTACCAGGCGAACTGGTCGAGGAAGGCGTTGAAGTCGTTGCGGTTGGTGCGGAGGGTCTCGCAGAGGACCTGGGTGCCGACGGTGGAGGAGAAGAGGAACATGGGGATGCAGGTGTCCTCCGAGACCTCCTCCTTGGCCTCGTTGAAGAGCATGAGGCCGCGTGTCTGGAGCTGGGCGGCGTGCTGGTGGTAGACCTCTGCGCGCGCCGGGTCTGTCTCGGTGTCGGCCAGGTGCATGGCTGCGTGGGAGAGCATGATGTCCATGAGGTAAGGGGCGCCGAGAGCGGCCTCCATGCTCATGTCCAGCATGGGCCTCAGGAACTTCTCCTCGCCGACGAAGGTGGGCATGCCGACTTGGAGGTGGCGGAAGAGGCGCAGGTGGTCGAGGGTGAAGAACTGGCCGTTGGCCGGGCGCAGGACCTCATTGGACTCGCCGGAGCGGGTGACGAAGTCGTTGACGACGGCGGTGATGGAAGGAGAGGAGGCGGAGGTGTAGTTGCCGAACATGGGCAGCTGGCTCCCGCTCGCGCTCGTGCTCCCGGGGCTCTGGGCCGGGCTGTAGCCGCCGGCGACGAGGACTCGCTTGGCCGGGACGGCTGAGCGGGCCGATGCCGGGAGGGAGTCGAGGTAGGAGCAGTGCCGCTCGGCGGTCGCGCAGTTGACGCATGTCGGACGCGTCTCGTCGCACTTGACATGGCGGCGCTTGCACTCCTTGCAGCCGTTACGAGACTTTCTGTGCGCCCGGCGAAGCTTGACGTCACCGGCTGCGGTTGCCGCTGGGGTGGCAGCCTCGTCGCCGTTGGTTGAGCCCATGGCCGGGGAGTGGTTGCGCGTCTGGGGGGCCATCCTCGCGCGTATAGAGAGAGCGGGACGGGAGAAGGAGGGGTTAGAGGACCGGTCGTCGGGGTTTCAATGGCCGGACACAAGCCATTGAGAGGGCGCGGCGACGAGAGGAGGTCTTTGCGCGGGTGCGGCGAGAGGTGGTTCTTTTAAAGGTGGACTATGAGGTGGTGATGTTTTTCAAGAATGCGAATGCGAAGCGGACTTTCTTTGCTTCAGCCTTTTTTTGGTGGGGGAAGAATATGCTTAGTGAATAGGTAGACTGACGGCAGGAGGTGACCCCGCCCACCTCACCTGAAGAAGGCGCCCAGGCGGTTCGGCAGATGCCGCTAGAATACAGCGATCCCTGTTAGTGGACCGTATCCCTAATCCAACCCGTTTGTTGGGTGCTACCTCTGCTACGAAGGGCCCCTCTGGGGCTTAATGCACCGAAGGCCGCCCCTGAATCAGCCCGCGCTGCGCCCTGTCCACGCGTCCTTTCCCCCCTATCAATGCCCTAAATGGAAAGTGCCGCCTGCTCTAATGTGCGTTCCCTGCTGTCGTTACTGCATCTCTAATCCTGCCCGGAGCCAATGAAGAACACGGCGAAACCAATTACACCGCAGTTCTGCCGTCCTATTTCCGCCCTTCCATGTTCCCTCTCTGCCATCTTGATTATTATTCAGGAACTGTCCGATAGTCTCCAGTCTTTCCTGCCTCGTCATGGCCGCTCTCCGACGTTACACCATCTCCGTGATCCACCGAACCTGACAATGATTACAATCTCTCCGGACTACTCCGTCCTCCACATGGGACGTCTGCCTCGCCGGCTCTCGCCCTTCACCTCATCGACTTGCGCATCGACCGCTGTTGCGTGTCCTGCTCCGTCATGTCGAAGCCCTCGACGTCCGAGGTCGACTGGCTGCCGTTCTTGCGAATCTGAAAGGCGCTGGGGAAGCGCCAGCCGAAGACGACCATGACGAGGAACATGAGCGTCGCGTCGAAGACGTAGAGCGTCCATTCGTGCTGCAGAGGGTATCCGTCGCCGCCCATGAGGTACTCGATCAGGCGGAAGATGGATCGCACCATGATGAGGCAGCTCACGGTGTACAGCATCCACAGGCCAGACTTCCAGGGCGACTGGCCGCTCGCCGAGGCCTCGGTCGGGTACTTGGACAGGCGCGAGTGGAAGATGATGGACGTCAGCCAGAAGATGCCGAAGAGCACGATCTGGATGACGAGACCGGCCACAATCAGGTTCTGTCCCATCTTCTGACTGCCGTCCTTGACCATCAGACCGCCACCACTGGCCTGCACCAGGAAGGAGAAGCAGTCGCCCGCGACGAAGATGCGCGTAAGCCAGTTGACGCGGATCACCGAGAGCGACTCGCCGTGGACGGAGCGGATGATTCTTCCGAGCGTCATGTAGACCGAGGCGGCGAAGAGCGCGGGCGCGACGAGAATCGTGATGCTCTGCATGACGTAGGGGCCAATCTCAGCGGTGCGCTCGCGGGCGATGGCTCGGCCTGCGTATCCGATGATTTCAACTGCGAAGGGAGGCTTGTTAGTACCCATGGCAAATGTCAAACATTGACGAGGAATCCCGCCTGGGACTTACGAATGCCGCCAATGACAAACACGATGCAGAACCACGTCTTGGTCCTCGCAATCATCCACGCGTGGTACAGCGTTACCAGGACGAAGAGCACCTCGAAGATGATGGCAGCCACCATGCTGGGCACATAGTGCCAGAGGTAGTACCCATTGTGCGACTGGAGCTCCGGCATGTTGGAGATGCTCGGTTTCCTCCCGTGTGGTGATAGTTGGTGTTTCGGGGTACAGGACTCTCGTCAACGTCTCTCGATCAAGTCGGCTCGTTGCTGATGATGGATGCTGCTCTCTCCCTTTCGTGTTCGTGTTGCAGCTGTTGCATCCGCCAAGGCACAGGGGAATCGAGTACAGCCATCTTTATAGCGGAATCCCAGGTGTCTGGGAAAGGAAAGGAAATTTGGTCTCCCGCCCGCGAGGCCGGATCCGTGTACCGGAGTCTGGAGAGGCTGTCGCCATCTCTTCCATACGCGTTTTTCGCCCAGGCAACATTCGACGGGCGAAGCTTTGGACGTTCAACGAGGCCCCGCCCGGCTTCCCCATATGGACGTATACGTGGATGGAATCACCCATGATTGGACGACACTCGCAAAGATGTCTGATCCCTGCTAGCCCTTCGGGTGTTGTTGCCGGCTTTCAGTCTCGGCTCGCCAATCACGGCTCCGCCCATACGCGTATCCGCAGCGGGAGGGCTGTGGCCCAACAGGCCCGACTCAAACAAGCCTTTTTTTTTTCTGATTCGTTTGGTGCTGGGCATAGGGCCATGATAAGGATCACCCCGTTTGACGTGCTGACGCAAGCCCGCTTACCCATTCTTATTCCCTACTGCAGCCCTTTTTTACGAGTATTGCTAGGGTCTGCTGCGAAACAAACACCCCACTCACGTCGATCGGGGCGGATACACGCGTAGAGCACCTTCACGTACGGCTTGGGCATATTTTTGGTGTTTGATTCCGGGGAACCATGCCCGTTGGGATAGTCCGCAGCATGCAACAGTATCGGCCCACGCTTCGTATGCTGCTGCTAGTTGTTTTCACCTTGCAGTCAGCCTGATTGTTGGGACGAACCCCAATCTGCCCCGTCAAGATGCCGCCCCTCCAACTGGGTCATCACTATACATCGGCATCCGATATTCTCCTTGTCATCGTTGTCTGATCTTGAGCATTCTTTTACAAATGGGTCAGGGAAGCCAGCTGTTATGGCCGCCGTTGTCGCTACGAAACTGACTCGGTCGGAGAAAAACCATTCGGCTGTAATCTCCGACCAGTCACAACAGAAAGTGCCCTCTACGACTAAGTTACTGTTCAAATTAAGCGTAAACCTTCTATTAATTAAGACGACAATATAGTATAGACTTGATACAACTTCACTGCGGGTTTTTATCGTCTGCCCAATGAAAGCATCTGTATTTGACATCACAACTGGTTACCAAAAGCCAATGATAGGTTGCCCTCGAGCCAAATTCAGGTTGTTCTCTACAAACGGTATTATAAGTACAAGACCGGACTTTTTGTCCTGGGCGATCGGTCCCTGGGCAATCCTTGCGATGAATTGCTTTGCCATTGTCAATCTATGATCTAGAAATATTCGTCGAGCATAGGTCATCCTGTTCACCACTTCCCTTGTTCCCCATTCCTTTCGCTGTTGATGACTAGGTCGCTGGGCAAGGAAACGCCCCCCGAGGCGCAATAATATCCTGTCCAGACCACCCGAAACCTAGATAAATGGGGTTCCGCTCAGATGTCTTGTCCTTACAAAGCAAAACGACGATGGAGCGGGTGAGCCAGCCAGAATCTCAATTACGGCCGCCGCCAGGGAAACGCGGGGGATCAGGACGTTGACCTGGTTGTTTCGGCTGGCTCTTTTTCCCCTTGCCCTCTCGTTTGTATACGAATGCTTCATGGAGGAGGGCGTGGCCGGCGCCTGGTTCGGCTCTGGCTTGAACGGCGTGCGGAGCGCGCGAGGCATCCTAAGGATGTTAGTAGTGTTCGTCATGACTCCATTGAGAGGGGTGACTGACATCGACGGCCATGACGGCGCCGAGGAAGAGGGATAGACTCCAGACGGGACGCATGGTTAAGGCTTTTCGCACGGTAGGGTTTGTAAAGATAGGGTCTTGGAATCAGCAAAGTTGTGCAGATAACAAAAGGCTGAGTTTAATGCATCTGAGCCTAATTACACGGAGGAAAACAGTGGCCATTTATACGCAAGATAGGAAGCATGCCTTCTCGTAACCAGCTAGATAATGCTCCGAGTCCAATCTGTCCACCCTAAACTCAGAAAGTTTCAGGTGAACTGCAAGAACTCTATAACTCACCTAGAGAAACCCGTACTGTGATAAAATCGTAGAGTCATGCGGCTGTTTGAAGAAGTGGCCTTTGATGGGCAGAAGCCGGTGGGAGTTAAGCCTAGCATTGTTCTGGTTTGCTAAGGTTTATGTTTACTGAAACATTGTCCGTTATCAACTTCCTAGTGACACAAATCACAGGAGAATAACCCTGCGCAAATGACTCGATAACCAGGAGCCTCGTATTTCGATATAAGGCGTCACTATTGATATCTCCGAGCTTTAGACTTTGAATCACTGTGAACAATTCTATAAGGCCGTCTGAAACTTGGGTAAGGGATGTAGAGAGTAATAAACAAAAAAGGAAACAAGGCCAAGATAGCATCCAGGAACGTAATTCTACGCACCACCATAAACGATGCTTGCTCCAGCGCTCAAGGGTCCAGACTCTAGTTCTTGATTCTGCTCCCTCACCATTCCTCGTCATGTCATATACTGACCACGGCCTGCAGATCAACCTTTGGCCCCCTCCGCGTGTTTAGTTCCTCATTCCAGCTTACTATTCGCACCAATGGCCACGGCAGCCTGTCAAGCAGAGATCTCAATTCTGAAAAGAACACGTGTGTGTCCTCACAGGTCTAGGATCCTCAACAGCACCTATTGTAGAAGGTAAACACCGAGGTCACGCCACCCTGCTGCCCCAGGTTCGAGCGTCCACGGATTGGCGGCGGGGTGGGCAGACGTCTCAGTTTACGGATATCGCAATATGCCCAGACTTGAAGCGTTGTGAATGTTTGAGTCTTGCTCTGACCGGGGAATGTGGGTGTGACAGCTGCCCAGACGCCAGTCAGATGAGAAAATACTTGATATTGAAAGCTTTCGACGGTCTGAGTCTTACCAGTGACGGGGGATAAAAGGACCACACTCTCCTTGAAGCCAATCACCAGCGGCATGGAACATTCAGTATTCGTACGTATGATGAAAATGATTAAGCACATGGTTCTTGACTTTCTTGATGTTCTTGTTATGGGGATCGATTGTTTTCAAGGGTTGTGAGTGACAGTGTCCTTGACCGATGCCGTTGTGGTTCGAGTTAATGTCTTGGAACGAAAACACACACAGAAAAACAGGTCGAGCAGCACAGCTTCACATAAGAATCACCATGAAAATTGACAATTTCATTCCGCTATGGCTATGTGTTATGGTGCCAGAGAGAGAAGTACTTCACCAGAGTCTGTCTGCGTCATACAGAAGACATAGAGGACCCCACTTGCTGATTACGAATTACGCCCTCTGCCGCACTACAACCCATTTTCAGTTCCAGCATAGCATCCGTCTCCAAGCAATCAAACATATTCCGCAGTGACTGTGTTGTAACGAGAGTCTGCGGACTATTAGTGATCGTGTGTCAAGTGTTAAGGGCAAGCGAGACTTACTGTTGTACAGTAGTGTGTAGGTTGTCGAGGCGGACAGATACATCGCCTCGATCTTGCAGCTCAGCTCGTAATACCACTGTCCATCAGACCCCTGGCGACGTGCGAGCATGTTCTCCGGGATATGACTGACGTCAGCCTCGACATGCACTAGCATGGAGACGTTATCGTCGCGGGCCACAGGAGCCGTTCGAGGTGTGCGATCGGCGTAGATATCCATCTTGATCTTCTTGATGCGGCCCTGGCTGACGAGACCAGTCCACACGAAAGAGGTGTAGAACGGCTCATTCTCTGAGACATTGTCTCCGCGCTGGATGAACCATTCCATTGTGTACACTTTGTAGCAGCCATCAAGACCGCACCAGTGACGCTTGCTTTCGACATGGCCATGGATTTTGGGGTCGTACTTAGTGCGCCATTCGGTTCCGTAGTGCTTGCGGGCCTTACGGTTCTGAACTCTGACCTGAGTAAGACGATCGGGAGATACTTGGGCAAGTCCCTTCATGACGGCACCTTGGACGACAGCTTGCCAGGCGTTTGGAGGTTGCATAATCTGAATGCTCCTGTCGATAGCGTTGCGCAAGCGTTCCTTGAGGTAATTGGAGGCGCCGAAACCACCGACCAGAAGCACGGCCCGGATGGGTACGCCGCTGGTTGTGATCTGGTCCTTCACCAACTTGATACACTCGAGAACCACGGGCTCAAAGATGGTCTGCAGGTCAGAGGCCTTCAAGGCGAAACGACCACGGTTGATCCCAAGCTCTCGGTTGTTGTTGAGACCGCCGACGGGGATCGTATAGGTTTCGTCCGGGGCGGCACCCAGTGTGAACTGACGCTTGACCTGCATGCTGTTAGTATCAGCTGCTCTAACAGAGAAAAACAAGCATACCTTCTTCTCGAACTGCTCCATGGCCTCTGCCATCACCTCGTCGTCGAAGCCCTCTTCCTTGCCCAGCTTCGCCTTGAGAAACTTCGCGAAGCGCATATTCAGGAAGGTTGAGCCACACAACGCACCCGATCCTGGAGCAGCCTCTTGGACCTCCAGGATAGGCTTCAGGCCGGTGATTGTGTAGGAGATCAAGTCCACCGTACCACCGCCAGCGTCGACTACCACAACAGTGTCGCCGACCTTGAGCCCGTGAGGGTCGAGGCCGTGCAGGGCGTAGATGGCTGCCGCTTCGGGCTCAGAGACGAGGTGGATGGGTGACTTGGAGCTGGACAGACCCGAGGCCTTCTGGCACGCTTGCTTCGTCTTCTCTTTGGCCAAATCGGACCAAATGGCGGGGACAGTGACAACGAACTCGAGGGGGGTTGTTGTGACGACTTGTTCGCCAAGCTTCTCCCTCAATGTGTACATGAGGTGCTCGCCAAGAGCCGAGATGTAGTCGGTGACTAGTTTATCGACGTTTCGACCACCCCTAGCCTCCGAAGAGACGGCCTGTCCCATGCTCTGGAGGGAGGGGTCAAGATCGCTGCAAAGTATTAGTACAGCCTGCTGGCGAGTGTCAACGTCTCCAGAATCAGTTTACTCACAGCTTGAACCACTCGACAACTTCATCCTGAGGCGCAGTGATGGGAATAGAAAAGCCCCATTGGATCTCGTCGCCGGCATATCTGAGCTTGGTCGGGACCTTGTCTGATGATTCACCCTCGCGGACCGTCTTGCTGATGGGCCAGGTAGTGATGGCCGTCCGTCGATCGGCGCGCTGTGTCTCCGCCCAGGCGACGCCGGAATAGGTGGTGCCGAAGTCGATGCCGACGATGATCTTGCGCTCGCTGATAGCGAGCTTGTCGAAGGTGTCGACCATGGTGGTGCGGGTTATTGTTGGGTATCACAAAGACAGGAAAGAAATGGGGTATCGTGGAGATGAGGAACGGTGCGGAACCAGCGATATGGCAAATGAAATATGCAGAAAGGCAGGCAGAAGCGGCCGGCTAAGGAATTGCCACGTTCCAGGACCCAGAAGAGAGGGCCTCGTTTTGGTGGCTGTAGGACTGGTGTGCCTGACTTGGCGAGATGCACCCGGGAGGCGCTCGAAAGATGTGGAATCTTGCGAGTGTGACCAGTATGGACTGCGGAGCGAGGATGAAGAGGCGCCGGTGATGTCCGAGTGAGAACAAACTCGACTGTTTGAAAGAGAAAAGGTTGTCACGTTGAAAGTCCGCAAGGTCATGGAAATCTGCCTCGAAAAAGAGAGAAGAAGCTCTGGTGGGGATAAGCAAGCGGCGTGACCAGCAGGAGGCATAAGCTGGACTTCTTCAAGCAGGAACATTTTTGGAAGAATTGAAGCCTCAGATAAGGTACTCGGTACATGTGAGGCTGGCTAGCAGGCAAGGCAGGAACAGCTAGCATTTTGCATGGAAGGCGCCTTCCAAGCCGCCTTCCTGGTCGAAGCAGATGTGGAAGGAAGGACCTGGGAGGCAGGGACATGAGCGGCCCTGGGTTCTTGCCATGACCGGACGGTTCCGTGACATGGATGTGGGGCTGGAGAGAGCCTTCCACTTAGGTGGCACTGAAGCATCTCGTCTTGTTTCAACGAACCAAAGCCCATTATGGCGAACGTGGCAAGGACCAGTTCACCGAGATCAGGCGGTGCGCTTTCTACTACGTAGTAATGAGGCCACCCTATCAAGTATCCCACCGATCAGGGCGAGATATCGACAATCGAAGGTCAAGTCACACGCCGAAGACAAGACGCTAGTGCCGCCCGACAACGGTATGCTTAGGCTTTCGACCCGGACACTGGAGAATGCAAGCTGGATGTTCGGTACGTACCGGGGGCAGTTTTCCAGAACCCCAGGACAAGCTGCTCAAGCAGGCTTGATCCTTGTCCACTTCAACGCAAGAAAGCTTACCTTCATGGCTTACGCTGCGTCGGCCTCCGCCGACAAGATAGAGGAAATCCGGGGATACGACTGAAGATTTCCTCCCTCAAGCATGCTCTCGCTGACCTGAGCTCACCGCAATGATATAGGGTGAACAGGCTACTGACTGTTTGCGAGAAGAGATGGGTTGCTGCAAGGATTGGTGATCGCCACGGGGATAGGCAGTGTGGTGGGGTTCACTCAGTGCAGGGCTGATTCTGGATCAGGCGCGAACCTGTCCGTAAGCAGTAAGGCATGTTGCGGGAAGCCTGTGCTAGCTTGAAGCTCCGTAGCTCAGGGTGTTTGATGCATGTCCAACGTCGTCGAATTATGCCATTGGCAGACAGGAGAAAACGGATAGGCGGACACGCATTAAACGCATTTCAGCTCTGCATTCCTTTGTATTAGTACGAATAGTACCGGGCTGTCGAGGGGCCATATTGCGCCAGTGCACAGTGTCGCCGACACTGCCTTCAAACGCTTCTCCTCGCCCCACCAAGGTGTGCCTCAATGGAAGCACCGACAGCAGCTTCCCTCAACGATGCACTTACCGGTAGGAGCGACCCTGAGAGGTGGATAATCATGAGTAACTGCCAAACGGAGGTTTTTGAAGTTTGCATCCGGCTTGTTCGTTGCTCCTTCCTTTGATTCATTTCTCTCACCGAACGTGAAAGAATGGCAGTCGTGAAGCGCCAGCAGCTTCCAGCCCACCTGCACTGCTGCCAGCCTAGGCAGACTTCCTGCACTTCATCTTATCTTGGCGCACTTTCCTCCCAACCCCAAATGCAATTTCGGGCCTTAGATCTTTCGTCCAAACACCCCCTCCGTTGTTTCCGCCGCCCAGCATCCCCGGTCGACATCATGGACGACCTCAAACAACTGAACCCGACCCTCCCGCACCACCGCGACAACCAAACTCCCCCGATCCCGGACAAGAAGCCCATTGAAGCTGACTCTGCTTCCATTCCGCTCGAGGGTATCAAACCTACCTACAGCTCAGCCCTCAAGAACCCGCCGTCCGTCAACACAGAGCCTCCGAGCCCATCTCTCAGCTCAGAGTCCGACGCCATGGGATTCACAAAGGTTGAGATGCCTGCCACCGTTCTCGAAAACGGGGGTCAGAGCAAGGGACCAAGGCAAGCTCTGCCCAAAGGTCTCGTTGCCACTCGTTTTGCCAATGCCAATGTTCCTCCCCCTCAGCGCGCGCTGTCACCCCCGTCAACCACCACATCGGCCTCCTTTCTCGAGTGCGAAGACTTGATCAACTTCGAAACTGACAATTCGCAATCTACAAGAGGCACCTCGTCGCAAGACTCGGTTCTACAAGCTCGGTGTGACGAGAACGTGGCTGCCTCGGCCTTGGAGCTGCGTTTGCACCGCGATATCGACGACCTACGCCAGAAGCTCAGGTCCTCGAAAGCTCAAGCAGAGATCGCCGAGGAAAGAGCAGACAGAATGGAGAAGAGGATTCAAGAGATCAAGAGCGTTAAGGCTCCCAAGCTTACGGACGCGGAGAGAGATATCAATTCGCTGTACTCAAGTGTCAATGAGCTCAAGACGGAGAACTCGGCCCTAAAAGAGCAGTTGAGGGACGCCCAGTCGCACATCTTCAGTCTGCAGCCTTATCGCAAGGAGCTGACGCCGGAGGAGGTTGGTCGCGTAGGTGAAACCCAACCCTTTCCGCAAACTCACCAGTCTGACACAGTGGCAGCAATATGACGATCTCGTTGAGGGCATCACCGATTGGGTTGCCAAGTTCATGGCACCGCTCCTCGACAATCATGCCAAAGGCGTCGATGAACTCCTAACCAATTCGCGCAAGCGGCCGACCGAGGCGCACAAGCTGAAGCACGCCATCCAAACCCACGCGGATCTAGTCCACGGCACAATGTTCCCCGAAACGGATGAAGATGTGATCATTTCCGTCATTATGAGATTCCTCAACGACAGCATTTTCCAAAAGATTCTGTACGGCTCCTGCGCCTCATTTGTGGAGTCTCTCAGTTTTATAGAGATGGCGCTGCAGAACACTGTCGAGCCCAAGCGAGGTGAGAGATATACCGATGTGGTAACCATTTGTGTAGCTGACCAAGTCGCCAGATCTATTCGCCATTCGGACATGGACCGCGGAGGCCTACAATGCCATCGTGAGCTCTCGCGAATTCAGAGGCGTGCGAGAGAAGAGGATGCGGGAGATGACGATTGAGCTTGCAGGCATTTTCAAAATCCTCTGCAAAAAGGACCAGCTCGATATGTTCTACAAGAACTTTGAAGAGAACTGCGTTAGGCCTGCCATGCAACTCTACGAGAAGATTCAGATTTCGACCCACCACTTCTACTTTGACATCAATCCGTATATCCTGTGGGGATCCGAAGGCGAGTTCCAGACATCCACGGACTTTCTCGACAACGTGTCAGACCTGGACTGCAAGAACATTCTGCAGAACCGCAAGGCGTTCAGCATGTCCAAGATGGACCCGCCTCCTTCCAAAAAGGAGCTCTACCACCGCCTACTCAACGTCTGCACGATCACCCCTGCACTCTACATGCGTCAGATCGGGCGCAAGGATTCTATCAGAGAGCCTCAGATTGTCCGGCGTCAACAAATGTTGGTGGCATGGGGTCTCCAAGACAAGAAGGAGTCGTTCATTCGAGATGGGGATCAAACGCTACTCAACCACCTATACACTGCCAGGAACGAGCGCGAGAAGGCAGAGGCAGGTGGATGGGCGACTTTCCGTTGGCCAGGCTAGATGCATCCCAGGCAGACATTGATGAAATTGGGAGTCCCATGTTCACTGGATTGAGCTTTGATTTGAGGGCGTTTGCAGAAGGGGAGACATAAGGCTGGACATTTCCCATCGGTGTTGGTGCTTGAGATATATCCAGCGGAAGCCAATGGGGTAGCCATGGCCAGAGCCGAGGGTGCTCCTGACGAGGATTAGACGGGCTCTTTCAAATGAAATAGTGTCATCAGATAAGACCATTTTGCGCTGCTCTGTTTGCTCAGCTGGGCGTTTAGTGGAATGAAATGGAGCTGGTGGATGGTGGTCCAACGAAGCTCGCTCTCATTGTCAACCCACATCACCCACCGTTCACTGAGGCCTGCGATGTGCATGATGTATCAGTACTTTGGCTTGGTCGCTTGGTGTTCTAGACTCCAGCGACAACCCAATTGACATAACGTATGTATCTGATATGAATGCCACCTGGGCCAACCCATACCTTACTCCAAAGTGTAAATTGTGCTTGTCACAGCCCCAGTTCAGGCTTTCCGGGGTTGCAAGGCCTTCCAGGCAAGGGGCGGGCGCTAACAGATAAGCTACAGCGGATGGACACACTGAACGAACCCCTCACTGTGGCGCCCAAGTGGCGGGGTTCTCGTGGAAGGTGCCCGGTACCTGCGGAAGCCGCCTGAAAGGTCGGTCCCCCAAACGGGCAGGGGCAGGCACCTGCGACATCAGAACAGTGCGGAAGGCACGTCCAGTGCCACTTGCCAGGCCATGAACCACTTGGACTCAGAATTGGAACTACTTTTACCGTCAAGGTTGCCCCAAACAGCTTCATCTGATGCCTTTTATGGTTCGTTTGCTATGCGCCCGCCGTCATCTTTCAGCCACCCAAAGTTTCCGCTGCATCTCAATACAGCAAAGGTGCCCGCTGAAGAGAACCTGCCTGCTGAAGAGGAGTCAGTTGACAGTCAACCTTGCAGACGCAACAGCAACGGCCCAGCGTCTGCTAATCGCAAACTCCACCAGCCGTTGAATAAAGTAGGCAAGCAGAGCACACTTCGAACATCGCTAACCGCCTGGAATTGCCCAGATTTAACTATTGCTTTGCCACCTTGCTTATCCGTCGTCCCTCCTTCAGACCAACCGTTAGCTTCAACACCATCCAAGCACGGCCAGTAACAAGGTACTCTGCCTTGTGGCCCGTCTGCATCAACTACATGCTCGGATGGTGATGCAAGGTTGAGGGCCCGAGTGACGCCTTCAAGCATCGAGTAGGATCATCCCAGGAACCTGCTGCCACTTTCCCACCATGTTTCCGTCACCGGCACAAATATTGCGACATTCGTTCCAGCAGCATGCCGGCATCACAGACGATTCGTCGCGACAGGGAGTGTCCTCTACGTCGTCCCACGGGCCATTGCCCTCCAGGGGAGAGAGATCAGCCAATGGATTCGATCAAGGATCTCTCGAAGAGTTTCACGCATCTCGTCTGTTTCGAGAGCTAGTCTTGGCAACAACAGCTGCGGCGTCGACAGATTCCACGATAACTTCTCCCACCGCAAATCTTTCACCTGGAAACTTCATCACCGACGCAAACACCAGCGCACCCAGACGTCGAGGAGACGAAAACACGCGAGCAACGAACAACAATCAGACTCGACCGGTGGTTGCAGAAAGGGCGCCAGCCCCGAGATATGTCCCTTACGTTGATTCTACTCCCGTGACGAGAATGTCTGCCACGCAAGACGCCGGGCTGCCGCCCAGCTACTATGCGCACCCGAACCCCTCTCACTTGGACAGCTTTGTCGAAGATGTCCTCGATCCGCCCCCTCTATACGACTGGGCAGTGATGATGGGGAACAGAGACCAGCAGGAGGAACAGCAGCCAACTCCACCACGGCAAGATGTCGACGACCAAGCAACGTCGTCGGTCATCGCCTCTGAAGCATCGCAGAGAGCTTTCTCCTATGGTACCATTAGTGCTGACATCATGGCCGACTTCGACTTTCCTCAACCACCACCAAAGACGACGGCCGCAGTCAGGGACCTCGCGGTAGCATCTTCGTCGTCTTCTACTCCTCAGAGGGGCTATCGACCGACAGCGGCATCCATTCTAGATGGCTTTGATCCTGCGCCTTTCTCTCCCCAAACAACTGGCGGCAGCAACAGCACCGCTGCAAGCACGCCCCCCATGATGTCTCCTCCCATTCGCCCCAGATCGGCCTCGCTTCTAGGAACAAACAACCCGTACATCGCCCTCCTCGAGCAGAAGGAGCAGGCGATGACGGTCGCTTTTCTGCGCACCCATGACGTCGCCACTGGATCCCGCTCCACAGATCTCGCTGCAGACGATTTCAGGTAAGCCTAGCCATGGTTTATGCTTCCATCCATCACCCCCTGCCCTGCCCTTTTGGCCAGAAAGTGATGAGCCCCATGCCAGTTGAAGAGTGTCCAGTCTTGCTTGACGTTGCTGCTAACCCAGTACAGTTTCGGTCAGCGCTACCAGAGAGCCGCTGACACGACAGACGTTGTAGTTACGAGGCAAAGGCTACCAGCGAATGACCTGGGCGGATCAAGAGAGTGTCCTATCTGCGCGGAGACTAGAGAGGCTGTTGATTTCCCGATCCTTAGCGTTACCTCGATGTGTACTCACCCGCCAGAGGCATGCTTGGAATGTCTCCAAATGTCAATCAGATCAGACTTGAATAGCAAACTCTGGACCGATATCCGATGTCCCGAGTGTCGAGAGCTCCTCGAATACGTCGACATCCAGAAGTACGCAGACGAGGAAACGTTCGCCCGGTAGGCCACGCCTGAGACACCCTGACGGAGCCAAACTGACGAGTCCATAGATATGAAGCATTGGCTCTACGCGCAGCCATGGCTGAAGCTGAGAACTTCATCTGGTGCACGGCTAACTGCGGCTCCGGTCAGCTTCACGACACGGGCACCGAGCAGCCGATCGTTTCCTGCCTGCACTGCGGCCAGAGGTCTTGCTTTACTCATAACGTCACGTGGCATGAAAACCTGACATGCGAGGAGTATGACTCGCTGCTTCGCGATCCCCAGAACTTTCGATCGAGGATTGAAATGGAGCACGAGCAGATGGATGCTGCAAAGCGTATCCAGGAAGACGCCGACCGCGCCATGGCTCAGGGTCTCATGGCTGAACAACAGGCAGAGATTCAAGAGCAGGAAGCACGAGAGCGAGCCGAGCGAGAGAGGGCATTAAGAGCCACGGCACTGGCACGAAAAGTCGCGGCCCGGCGCAAAGAAGAAGAGGACCAAAGCAAGGTCACTGTGAGTAGGACGACGAAGCCTTGCCCCGGTTGTGGGTGGGCGATAGAAAAGAACGCAGGATGGTAAGTAATCCCGTGCTTAACTAGAAAACACATGCTAACCCTTATACGCCAGTTCGCACATGACTTGTAAGTACATTTGATTCTCCATGATCCTAGCACCCTTTTTTCAATCTTCCTCCCGCCAGCCCCTGAGGCGCCCTCCATACTGAAGCCAACAAAATTCGCAGGCATCAAGTGCCGCTTCCAGTTCTGCTGGGGATGCTACACCGTCTGGCAGCGCGGCCACAACGTCCGATGTCGTGGCTTTGCGACTATTTGACGTGACGATGCGCCCCCAAGCACCAGAGACGGATAGAATAATGTCTAACCCGGATGACCTATTCCCAGGTTCACGCTGCAAGCATGAGTTCTGCTACGAGTGCGGGGCAGACCACAGGCGCATCTTGTTGGAGGATAACAGCATACACAGCCCACACTGCCGGTTTCATCCGAGCAACCTTGAGGATTTTGTTCCTGCGGGAGAGAGGGGGTCAAGACCAGGCAGAAGGCCAGGTGCATCTAGGCGCGTGGGGAGGCGATGATATTTTGACAAACACAGTAATGTAATTTTATTCCGCACAGCAAGGCTCTTTTTGATTGCATCTGAATTTGCGAACTGCGAGGGGAGTAGGACTCCATCGCCCGGATCCCTTTTCATCGGCAGCCCCTGATATCCAGGCTGTGATTACAGTAGCTTTCATGTAGCCCCTAGCTCCAGATAAAATACCTACTTTGAGCTAATTTTTGTTGACATGATGCTAATTGTATTCCCCACCTATCCATTCGTTTCTGCCGTCCCCTATCGTCTTTACCTAGCATCGTCCAGATCAGTACAACCTTTTGTCCTCTCTCCAGCCCTCAACAATCATCGCCACACTTCCGTCACGCCTCCCCAGTGTATCAATATCTGCCACGATTACTAGCCGGCACCGTCCTCCACGGTTCCCAGCATCATTGTCGTTCCTGTCGTCCCCTCTCGTCTCCTTTCACCTCTGTCACCCCTTGTCGTCTTTGCCTGATATCGTCCAGATATGCAGCTTGAATGCCTAGCATCTTAGCGGCAGCAGCAACTCCAAATTCAACAGCCCTCAATTTCGATTTCTCTTTTTCCTGCCAACCTTTCATAAGTACATTCTGGCCTGCTGGCCTACCGTCGCTGTGTGCCTCTGACACCAAGAGCCGGAATGGACTGGGCTGGAGACGACCTATGCGGCCAAGCTATGGGGGTGTGTGTTGAGGGTCAGAGTCGCCTTGCATAGGCAGCTCCCTCAACTCCCTCCCCTTCCTCTCTTCTTTGTTTTGTTTTCGCAGATTACCACCTGTAGGTACACGTTTTCAACTATTGTATAACTTTGACGGAATATGTCAGAGCCAAAATGGCTCGCAGAAAAGCCTCCATGGCTAGCTATGGGGTATATATGGATGGACACCATCATAGCGCATGGGATGAGATGGATCTTTTACATTTACCATAGGGTGTGAATATCTCTACGGTCTCCTTGACCAGCAGAGATTGCAACTTCAACTTCAACGACCTTCGGGTTCCTTTACATCGTCAACGTATTGTGCCGAAAGCCTACAAATCTGGGCAGTACAGGGTGCTCACGTTGAACATGCCTACACTGCCCCAACTGGGCTGTCTCTTGCCGTGTCGGTATGTATTCCTCCATAGTAGTGGCGGGGGACGACAGAGACGATGAGGACGATAAGGCCGATGCAAATTGGTACTCATGAAGGTGTTGACATTGACAGACTGAGGCTAGTTCGAGGACCAGGAACAACGCGCAGCCTGTCGGGACCCTTCAAAGGACGCTAGAAGGAGGGAAAAAGCAACAAAAGAGCAGCTTGGTTATACATAGAAACCAGGTCACGCATTACTCAGAAGGGAGGCAGGCAGATTTCAACATTTCATCTTTTGACTCCTGAATGTAGTTGGCCTCTGTGATTCTTTACACCGCATGTCCCTATTGGTACAGCCCATCTACAAAAGAAATCCACGAGAGGAGACGCCATGCCGTGCTGTATATGAGACTTCTGGATCTAGCCGTCATAAAGCGCGGTAAAGTCCGAAGCGCTTCGCGCATTGTCAGAGCCAAGTGGCCGGGGCCGAGTAAAGTGAAGATCTCGCGAAGCCATGTATCCCTTGAGGAAACGGGGGTTAGGCTCTGCAGAATCAGATGTTCTATTTTTCGCCCAATAGAGCAATTGGGACGGCCATTGCTGAGTGCCCTCGATCTGCGGACCGAGGCGAGAGCTTATATGGGCCCGATTACGTTTAAGGTAACAGGACAGATGACGGGCACTGTCGCAGGCCCTCACGCAGGGGCGGAAGATATTTTGATCTGTTCGTCAGGGGATCGGCCCGGATTGCAGACGAAGCACAATTTGCTTCTTTTGTTTCTGGATTCATCCATGTTCTGGAAGAATGGCAAAAGGTTTGGTACCTGTGCCATTCATCACATGACGCTGTGCCGAATCCATCCAGAGACTTTTTAACCAGCACAACGCCATTCCGGCTTTTGTTCGACGACACCTTGAGTGCTTTCCCCCGCCCCCCAGAATTGCCGACGTCCAAATGCGGAGGGCTATCTCCATGGGGAGCTCGCCACGCTGCTTGAGGCCTTTGGGGGTGCATGTGGGACCAGATCATGGCAAGTATGATGTTCTGGCCAAAGCCAACGGTTCATCTGATGCTTTTGATATCCCGGGACCAGGAAGACGAGAATATCCCCATCTTCAATACACGTGCCGTAAGGTACACGCAGCCACTATGCATGGCTTATTCCGGGAAGGCCCAGCGAAGATTCAGGTCTACCTAAAGTTTTCGGTAGTTCCAAAGGCCAGGGGCTTGGCTGCCATTGCTGTTGATCTGGATCGCACCTTGTCGGCCACACTTTCGTCGGCACCGCACCAATATTGAGCGACGACGCTCCTCCAGCATGTCAACATAATGCACAATATCAATATATCGAAAGTCCAAATTCACTAGACTTGTCATTCCTAGCTAGACCGGGTGCTTAGTAATTATTCTGACGATAAACGAGAAGGGAGTACGCAGACTGCTCTTCTGATGAGAGTTTGATATCGCGTAACGCCCCTTTCAATAATGACCACGTGAAGGCAGGGAAGCTTGGGAATTGATAAAGTCGTTGGACGAACCGCGCAAGATTTTGAACACGAGAAGACAAAAGATTTATTGATCAACCATTCGCCACTCACGCCAGGTGCTCCTGCCAAACACCCTCCGGCTCCTCGTGGAGAATCCTCTTCTAAGTCGGCTCAGGCCAATTTTTTCGACCCCGTTTTTCATCAGCCCCGGTCTTCAGCACAGGAGACAAGTCATGTCCGGTCTATCCGTCCCGTCCAATGTGCCGGGTCTATCAATCCCATCCACTGTGCCGGGTCTATCAATCCCATCCACTGTGCCAGATCTATCAATCCCATTCAATGTGTCGGGTTTAAGAACCCCGGGAACTGCATGGCTCAACGTTGACCCTCCCGCCGGCCCGTCGACCGGAACCGTCGAAAAAAAAGCCGTGCCGAATTGGCTAGCAACATTCAATGCCTACGTGGGCCTCTTTAATTTCGTCAAGGATATTGGTGTCATCTTCGGCTGGTGGCCCGGTGGTCCGCAAGAGAAACCGAAAACCCGGCCGCACTACACGCCGGGCGAAACGCCGGACGACGTGCCGATTTACACGAAGGTTAACTTCTGGATTGGTAATGATGGACCGCACCCGTTAGACCCCACTAAGGCGCCGTTAATCAACGCTGGTGGCGACGCGCCAGATGTTCATTTGTTTGGCGACGGAGGAAATCACATCGGCTCCAGATACCAACCGGGGTTCTGCCCATCCGGCAGCATCCACTGCTACGCAGGGGTTGATACTGAGGGTTATGCTTCATACGTCCTTCTCAGCGGCAACAGGAACCCAACTTGTATTGCGCTCATGACTGTGGAGATACCAGGTGTTGAGAGGAAGTTTGGGTTCGCCCTGGGAAACTGGGCAGCACCTTGCGAGAAGATCTCCGGCAGGAAGAATCCATGGTTTGTTTACTTCCCCGATGTGTGATTTCGTTATTATTATTTTTTCAGCTTTCTAAGAGTGAAACAGGTACTACGCCAACCAGGACTTACCCCTGAAGAGTGCTGTCAATGACGTGAGCAAATGCGTCTGGATCGGCAGAGGCAAGAAGAATCAAAAGCCACAATATCTCAGCGGAATGCAGCTTCGTATGAGAGAGTTCCGCTCCAACGAAGCCCCTATACGGAAAATGGATTACTACTGTCGTAACTACCCGGTCCTCAACTTCCGCACTGAGATCTATCCTCACGTAGTCCAGAAGTGGGCAATAGACCCTTTGTTGGCTGGAACGAAAGCCCCGACTGGCCCCTTTCTCGATCCACAGTGGGCAACTGAGACCGAAGACACGGAAGAGAGCGAAACCCTCGTCACAGAACCTCTCCCAACAGTCACTGCTATGGGGACTTTTGGCGACGCCGCCGTCAAGGAGAGGAACAGGAACCGCTACGCCCGCCTCGCCCGGAGATGGATCAGCTCCCCAGACCTCGCGGAGCAGATCGCGATGGACCCCTCGGTCTACAAGAGCCACCAGCCCGGGCACCTGGCCAGCGAGCTCTGCGACCGGAACGCCGGCGCCGTGGGGCACTCTTTCGTCTCGTACGCGGAGAAGATGTTCTGCTACATGCCCACCAAGACGCTGTACAAGTTCTGCGAGGATATCGACGAGGGGGCCTGCTGGTCCGAGGACGACAACAAGGTGATCGTCAAGGCTTCGGGCGCAGGAATGATGACGCTCTCGGCCGCGGATATTCCTGATCTGCGCCACGCCCACAGCTCGATGAACATTGTCTGGAAATAAGTGCGCGCTCAACGTGTGCCCGGCCGGGATGACAGGAGGGGCGAAAACGAGAGATTCTGGTGGTTGGAACTTGAGGTGGATCGCTGCGGTCATTCAATTTGGTTGTTCAAGTGTGTATTGGTCATTGGAGAAGAAGCTATCTGTTGTTGGAAAATGGGCAGAAAGAGGGGGATTAATATGGCGAGAAGGCTTGGGAAACACGGGATCGAGAGCTGTAATGCTTGTTTTGTATGTATCGGAAATGATTTTAGTGCACCATCTGTCAGCTGTCACATATTGAGGAGCTTGGCTTCGAGGCCAGCGGGAAAGCAGAGCTTAATTTGGGTTTATTACTACGTTCCTTGTTTCTTATTGAGAAATGTCAAGGTATTAAGATATCCTGCATTTGGCTCATCT